CTTGCATTGCTCCATGGAGGCATAGCTGTGGGGGTAGGGCACCTTGGCCTCCTTGCGCAGGCTGCCAGTAATATTACCGTGAACGAAGCCCAACAGAGGGATGGCGCCGAGTGCGACAGCAATCACGGCACTGAGTATCGTTAGCTTCTTCAACGAAACGTGAAAGTTACGCTGGCAGAACCTACCCGTAGTTGCCAGGAACAATGAATGCGACCATGATGAGAAGAATCCGGGGAAATGATGCGATATGGTGGCTCTCTGTTATGATTGATGATTGTGTTTGCTTAACCATGGAGCTCCTTTATACTTAATTGGAGGCTCGGGTGTAACAAGCTCCGAGCTCCCGTCGGTTTAATCAATTTGTCCGTTCCGCCCCTTTAAGGTTGGTCATCTATGGATGATGGATATTATTGATGGGTAATCACTGATGACCTAGGGCAAATAAACAACCTAATCTTATTGTGCAAGGGAGGTTTTTCTAACTTTCACAAATAAATGTTCAAAGACGGCTATAAGTCCCAGTATATATCAAGAGTAATGCGATACACAAAATGTCCGCTAAATGCTGGATGTCAAGGTTCATGTCCCCACGTTCGACACCATCTTACTTACACTCCCATACTTGGCCTGCCAAGCGAAGAAGTATAGGAGCGCTCCCAGCGGTTGTCCGACTAGACAAAAGCTGACCCAAAAGATGCAGTTTCCAATGACCCTGCCTTCAGGCCCGCGCATATTTTCCAATGGTGCGGTGAGGCTAATCAACGGCAGCTGGAACATCATTCCAAAGAACGCGACACCTGGACTTGATTAGCCCCGAACCTGTGACTAGAGAGTGAAAGAAATAACATACCGATGAGATTGTGTGTCGGAATGCCCACGAGCATTTCGTGAAGAATCGCGGAGATAATGAAAACCATTCCACTCGCAGCTAGAGGACTCCATCCACGACCCACCAGTGGCGAGTAGACATGTCTCTTCATGAACAGGTAGACAGGCCGGTTCCAAGATCGCCAATACATACCCAGACTAGAGCTGTTCCACCAATCAGTGTAGAATTCGCGGTCTCCAAACCGCATGACCTCGGCCAAAGCGTTCAAAAGCGATTGGAACAATGCAAAGAAGCCAGCAAGCCAAATAATCAGTGAGATAGTGGATAGTTTCATGACCCGCTCCAAGATAGAGGCAATGTCCATTACTGCGATCTTGTCAATCGAGTTGAGCAACACCGGTGTGGCATACTGCGCAGACAGAAGCCAAATGAACACTGCCAGGACCACGAACTCCGCAAGGCGCTTTGCAACAAATGACCACCGGATGGATGCTGTGCGCGGATAAACAGGCTGATACACCAGCGTCGGCGCCAGCCAAAAGTACGCCAGGTTATTGATGGTAATATTCCTAGGGTAAGGGCACGAGGAGTAGATTTCGGGCAAGCCCGGGTCTGCGGAGGGATTGAGTAGAGCGAGGCGAAGGTCTCGGTTTGTGAAGGCATAAGAGCAGTTCTTCAACCACACGATGATCGCGTGCAGCTCGCATATTGTCCCAATGCCTGGGTGGTGGATGTAAAAATACACCACAAAGCTAGTCACTGTGAGGCACAGGGTGGCATTGAGCGTGTGCAGGAAAGCAGTGTACGGCCAGGTCGACTGGAAGACCTTCTGGTCGTGCTCTTTCTCTTTCTCTGTCTTTTTCTGACGGCCCACTGTTCGCTTAGCCGCAGTAGCGGCTGAGAGCTCGATGATGTATGCCACAAGCAAATGACACGGAACCGAGGCAAACAATATAGACCCCAGAACAACGTCTTGCCTGCGGTAGTCGTGGCATTTAATACAAATTAGCACGCCATACTGTATGCTTATTAGCTGGCAATTCGAAACAGTGAGCATTTGGATTACCCACTTTCATGAAGTTCTCAATAACCAATCGCAGGTTCATTGCCACTGTCGAAACATTAGCCGTTTCCATATACAATTCCCTAGCGATCCTTACCGAGTACCAACACCATAAGATTTCGAAAACCCAGGAAGTTGGGAAGCACGTCGGCCTCCCGACTGAGGCTGGAATGACGAGCTTCTGAGTGGTATGCAGCTACATGGCGATATTTACTTCGTTTCTTTGTAGTTGATGTTGATGGCGGAGAGACCTCGGTTTCATTCTGAATAGCCCCGTTCGTCGAATTGAGCTGCGATTCCTCGCGAGCGCTTTTGGCTGACCCAGTGCGAGTAGCCATTTTAACAGCTCTGCGATCTCGGTACTGTGAGAAATTGAAGGGTCTTCAAGTCGAGCTCCGATTAAACCGGAGCACCGACGGAGAGCAATGCGGAGATTACAACAACAACCAGGCCGCACAATTACGGCAAATAGGAAGAGAAGAAAAGGAGAAGAAGGAGATGACAAAAGACAGAAGTTAGAAACAAGATGATTTAATACTGGGCATGGCGGGGGACGAGACATCATAGCGCAAGCTTGCAGATAAAACTTGCAGGGGCCAATCAGCGTCACATGCGCTCAAGGGACGGATCCTGCACTTCGAAGAGCTTCGACTCTCTCCGCATCTATTGCTCTTTTTAGCCCTGAACCGGTCCGATTCAGTATTCGATCAGTATTTGAAACTCCAATTGCCTGCGATCCTCATGTTCGCGAACCGACAGCCTTGATCCCGTACATCTTTTCGACCGGTCGCGATGGCCTACTACGAGGACAATGGAGGTGACGGCCCAGGGCGGTTTGGCAAGAATTTCGACGGTCCAGTCGGACCTCGCAGACCACGTATGTTTGCTTGCTTTGAAGTTACTTTGACGGAGCTTCTGCTTGTTCATATCCCGACTGACAACCGTTACTTTTACCCTCAGGTCTCGTCACGGATTATGGCTCTTCGATGGTACAATGGATGCGAACACGGCAACCGAGATACAAAGGAGGACATCGATTGGAGACGGAACGACCGAGTCCAAGCTTCGCGGTCGATGTATGTGTTGCTTGATCTGTTCTGGTCTGGCGAGCAAAGAGACTGACATGCGACAGGTTCTTCCCCCGATGGCGCGGCCCTATTCTGCTGTCGATACAATCCCCGTCCGACACCTTCACCAGTCAATCGGAAAATCAAAGAAGCCCATTGTCGTGGTGCGATGGACTCCAGAGGGAAGGCGGCTGTTGACCGGCGGTCATACGGGAGAGTTTATGCTTTGGAATGGAACGGCGTTCAATTTCGAGACCGTTATGGATGTGCGTATTTACAGCTTTTGCGGATTGCGCCCTCACTAATCTGAGATGTTTCCTCCGGTGCAGGCACACTACGATCAAATACAAGCTGGTGTCACGTCCTTGGCATGGGCCCATAGTCAGGACTGGCTAGTCTCTGGGGGACAAAGAGGCGATATCAAATACTGGCGACCTAACTTCAACAACGTCGAGACTATCGATGACGCGCACCACGATGCAGTCCGCGATCTGGCCTGGGCACCCAGTGATACCAAATTCCTTTCAGCGTCCGATGATACAACCCTCAAAATCTTTGACTTTGCAACCCGAACGGCCGACGCGACACTGACCGGACACAACTGGGACGTCAAGTCTTGCGACTGGCACCCGACCAAGGGGCTAATTGTTTCTGGATCGAAGGACCACCAGGTCAAGTTCTGGGATCCGCGCACTGGCCGCTGCTTAACGACACTCCACAGCCACAAGAACACCGTCACATCGGCGCGATTCTCGCGTGTGAACAGTAACCTCCTTGCTACTTCGTCGCGAGACCAGACTGCGAGGGTATTCGATTTGAGGATGATGCGTGATATTTGCATTCTGCGAGGCCATGACAAGCCAGTTTCTTCTCTGACATGGCACCCGATTCACAGTAACCTTATCTCGACCGGTGCCGAGGATGGTTCTCTCTATCATTATCTACTTGATGAGCCACACCTGCCGGCTGGCCAGATTCCCACCGTGGCGCCGTACGACAGCCCGGACCCGGCGAATACTCCGCCGCAGGTGATCTATCCGGCACATCGGGTACAGTATGCGCATGGTGCTACAATTTGGTCGCTAGATTGGCATCCACTGGGTCATATATTGGCTTCTGGGTCTAAGGATAATTTCACTCGATTCTGGTCGCGGACTCGGCCTGGCGAGACTAGCTATATGAAAGACCGATTCCACATCGGCGAAGAGGCCGCAGAAGCCCAGGGAACATGGAATCGCGGGTTTGGCCGGAAACAAATGCGCGAGGACGAGGAGCAAGAAATGCAGGATGAAGCCGACGGGCTCGTCGATCAACGACCAGGTGGCACTGCTCTGCCGGGTATTCAAAGTGCGCCGTCGGCCGTCCCTCAGCCCGATCTTCCAGGGTTGCTACCTGGTATTGGCAGTGCTCAGCCTCGGCAGCCAGGAACGGATGGCGGCGCTATGGGTGGGATGGATCCGGGCCGTTTGGCTGCACTCATGTCCACTCACCCTCCATCGCAGTCGAGTACCCCCACACCTGGAATGCATGGGTTCCCCATGCCACAGGGTATAATCGGAACACAGCCGATGAATATGGATCTAGCACAATTACAAAAGCAAATCCAGGGTTTCCCTATGCCACAGAATCTCAACCTTCAAGCTTTGACAAACAACCCTGGCTTCCCTGGTGGATTTGGTGGCCTGCCTGGTTTGCAAGGCGGTGGTATGCCCGATGGAAATCGGAGACAGTGATGAAAATGGACATCTGATTTGAAATGCACGTTGAATCGGCTTGGCATTGGCGCAAAGGACATAGTATGGCTACTTTGATGCGGGGTGACGGCGTTATTTGAGATATCAAACACCATTTGTATCATAGGAAATTTTCGGGCATTTCGAAGTCTCCTGGATCCTTGTTGGTGAGACTGTTTGCGTAGGTTCAGGTTGGCTGGGCATAAATCCGTAGCTGCCGTCCACATAGGTAGACATGGTAGACAATTGTTATATCCGGCACATCCGGCACAGTAGTATGGTCGAGGTAGTAGCAGCCGGTATACCATTCAAAGGCCACCTTGCATAGGGAAGCTGGTGACAATAAGAACCATCACATTGACACCACCCCATATCATCGGTAGCCAAGTTGACATCCTGAAATTGCCTGCTTCATACACCGCGCCGAGGCTATCCACCGTAGAAGCGTCAGCTACCTAATCATTCGGGAAGCCAAGTGTCAAGCAACCAACTTACACAACTCCAATTATACTCCCGGCTAGAAGCGACTCCAGCGCTGCAATAAAGATGTACACCAACGGCACAATCCATATCACATTCCAGTTACGGAAATGAGTCAGTACTGCGCACCCAGCAACAGTGAGATGTGTCGCTCCGTAGAATATCAGCGTCCAGAAAAGTGTGAAGCGCCAGATGTCCTTCGTGTAGTATAGGTAGTATGCTTGATGATGATGCGCCGGCAGGGGATCGTACAATGACGGAAAGGAAGGCACTTCGTAGTTAATCGGGACGCGATTGTTGGCCATGGAGAAATAGCTGCGCCGTTTCAGCAATCAATCATCAAAGCATGACACGTGGGCAGGGGACAGTCACTTTGACCATATGTGTTGCTAACGTATCAACAAAAACCGCATGTCTAAGAGACTCTCGGAGATGACGATGCTTGTTTGCACTGTTTAGCTCCGTATCATTTGTCCCCGTATTTGGCTCTGGACCCGGACCTCGGCTTCATCTCACCCATTGAGAGATGTAGAGACTCTTGTCTGGGAGCATCCCTATCACCTCCAGTGTTGAAATGGCCACGGAAAGATCATTAGCTACGCTGCTACGGTCGCTGCAGGCGACTTCCAGCTTCCAAGATGCCGCTTCGTAAGTGCCAAATACCCCAATGAGGTCAATGTTAGACTAACAACAGGCCAATTCTCAGTCTGCTTCCCACGGCTACCAGTTTCCTTTCAATGTTAGGGAATCCTCTGAACCTGACACTCCTTTCCTCACAACTCCTCACTGCACCTTCGCTCTGGAGCCAACCCGTCGACCTCCAATCATGTCGCAAGATCCTTAGCGTCTTCAATACCGCCGCCATCGCCGTCTTGCAGAATGATACTACCGACGAACCCCGGATTCCGTACGGGCGGAATAGAAAGATCGAGTACGGGGCGTGGGTTAAGGCGGTCGCCGAGGGCGCCGATGATAAGTCCCCGCGGTGGAGGCATACGCTGCTGCTGGGCGGAATCTTGATGGGATTCGAGGGACAAAACCGACGGGGCTTACCACGACATATTCGGGTGAAACTCGAGATGGCGCTTGCGAGAGCGGCGCAATTAGCGCTGGAGGAGCTTGGTCCTGAGACTGGGATTGATGGACAGTGCCTCACTATGGTCTTGAACTACACTTTTGAGCTGCTGTCAGATTCCGAGAGAAGCACGCTGGATTATGATCGTTTGCTCCCGGCGATGATTCAGTCATCATACTTGTCTTCGGAGGGCCTCGATGGTGGCTATTTCTTGGGATCTATTGATCAGGATGTTGTTGAGGCTTCCGGGAAGCAGTTTCGCTGGTCGGCCAACTCTCCCACATTTGCTATTGTCTCGGCAGTAGCTGCTCGCCCGCTTGTGTCCACTCTGGGGCCTTTGTCTCGTCTTATCGCGCATTCTGTTGATAATGTCCGGGATCCGCGTATTGTTGCGCAGACTGTTGATTACCTAGCGGGTTTTGTTCGGACACTCATGGTTCAATGGCGGCAGAATAAATTGTCTGAGATTGATGTTGCGGAAGAAGCAGAGTTCCTAGACTCTGAATCCCGGGAAATTACACTTCCTGCCCTCTGGAAGCTGTTGCGAAATTGCTTATATTCGGTGGTTATCACACTTCGGGCTGTACTGGGGAGAACTATCAATGACCCAGCTCTTGCCGCCAACAGTAGTGAGTTACAGATGAGTCGTGTTATTTGTTTTTTTTACTAACTATGCTCCTGTCAGGCGCCCCGTACCTATCGATGCAATGTCTCCACATACTTCGCAACATGTATTTCATCTCTTCTCGGATTGGCCAGAATGCCTCATCGCAGCAGACGTTCGTTATGTTGGCAGCCATAGATATCCTCTCTCAATATCCCGCTCTTGCCGAGAACTTCCTGAGAAGCATTAAGCCAAGCGATATAGGACAAATTCCTGCTCACCCAATTGAACGATGTCTGGATCTTTTCTTCTTGAATGTGGCAGAGCATTTCCCTCTTGTCCTATCCCCAGAGACGAACGAGGAACTGTTATTATCCGCCGCTTTCCCATATCTCGCAGCCGGTGCTAACAGTCTTCTGTTGGAGATTTTCGAAGCTGCTCACAGCCTAGTGCTTGTTGTCTTCGCTATTCCCCACAACTCGGGATTAGCTGCCAAACACTTGCCTTTTTATGTAGAAAACCTTTTCGCCGTGAGTTTCATCCTGGCTATTATACGAAAGCAGTTGCTAATCGTCCACAGGTTTTCCCTACTAACCTTTCTGCGCGCCAATTTCGCCTTGCGTTCAAGACTGTCATCCAAATTACAGCACCTCCTTCTCCTCTGGCGAATAGCCAGCCCGCTCTCCCTTCAATCTTGCTGGAAGTTGTTCACGATCGTGCTTTGAACGCTTCCTCTACACCGATCCCTGCGCAGGGTCCAAATCCAGACATGAGCCTGAGTCCGCCCGTCTCTGAGCAGGCTGTCCTGACCCTTGCTCTCATCGATTCCCTTTCATTCCTCCTAGTCAATGATCTGAAAGAATGGCTGCCTTTAGCAGCACAATTGATCAACACAATTTCCGACCGCGATATGCGACATGCTTGTATCGATCGTTTCTGGGAGGCCATAGCCGGCGGCGAGATGGATGTTGATCGATCTTACTGCTGTATTACATGGTGGAGCACTGAAGGTGGGCGCGAGCTTGTCCTTTTCGGCGCCGAGACCGCCCCGGGCGAGTCTGATGATACTGGACCTTACATGAGTGGCGCGATTGGAGGTGTCGCGCCTGAAAGTAAGCTATAATGATGTCAATTTAAATAGCTTGCAATATTGAAGCTACGGCTCCAACGGGTGCGGTAACACCTTATACCATATACCATACTTCTAATCGATCAAGTCTAGTTCTGTACATTTTCATATATACTAATATTAGTGTGTTCTTGGTATTTATTCGACTCAACATCTTTGAAAATGTAACGTTCAGCAACTAGATTCCCGGGATCCCAACCGGGGTAGCCTTTCTGTACTGAACATACTCGTCGCCAAAGAAGGAGATCAAGTAAGCTTCTTCTCCTGTAATCGCGTAAATCAGTTAGCAAGAGGTCCAATGCGCAAAAACCGACAGACAACTTACGCTTGATTCGGCTCGAGAAGAACTGCCACAACACGAGGGCATACCCAACAAAACAAACCATATTCCCCAGTATCAGCTGTGTTCCCAGACCCCACCAGAAGAATCCAAAGTAGCTCGGATGCCGCAGATACCGATAAAGCCCAGTATTAACCAAAACATGACCCTCCTGGTGCTGACTCTGCACATGGTGATTGAAGTTACTAGCAGCCTGCGCCATAGCAATAGTCCGAACAACCTGTCCGATCAATAGAAGCGCAAAGCCTGCGACAAGCAGAAGCGAGACCGAGCTTCCGAAAAACGGTTCCGTCACAGTGACCATCCGCCCAGCAGCAGTCTGCCCGGGCCAGAAAACATGCGACACGATGCACTCCACGATGGCAGACCCGTGCGCAACATTATACGCCCATCCGTTCGATGACAGCAGGAACGCGGAGATAGTCGCATACCGCGTGTTGTATTGCGCCGTCACGTAGAACTCCAGGAAGTGGAACAGGCTCAGTGAGGCGATGAAGAACGGCACGCGCCACAGTGAACTTGGATACACGGTACTTAGGAACAATGCCATGCTTGCTGATAGCCCGAGGCTGGTGCCGAGGAGCATTGCGCGCAGCGAAATTCCCGCCAGGGACATCTTGCCGTCCGGGTAGATTGAGGTATCGGCATCGGGCGTGTCGGTTGAGGCATCGGAGGAAGAAGGGAAGGATATATTGCTGTTGGTGCGGTCGTGGATTGGAGGTCCGGGTGGTGAGATGTGTTTCGAAATGTGGGTGAAGTTCAGGGCTTTGTTTGGCTCTGCGCCGGAGGTTGTTGCGAGCATTGTCAAAGAAATAGAGAATTGCTTGGGAAGAAAGGGGCTGCTTCTTGATGTGTTTATTTGGTTCGAAAATCGGGCATTTCGAGGGAATTAGTGGAATTTAAATAGTGTGTGTTGGTGAGGGGGTAGTTTCATTGTTTGAGAACAATCTCAAGAAGATTGTATTGTTTCGCATCGGCACCCGCGGACCTTTCCCCCGACATGACGCCGGTGGACATTTCACCCCGGGCCCACATGGCCTTGGCTTTAGAGCTCTAATACCTCAATGTGGCTTGAATTACAAGCTGGTGCCTGGCTTCGCTGTTTCTCCTCTCTTCGAGATAGCTATGACCATCACAACCATGTCGGAGCCTACTGAGAAAGAGAAGATGCTTCGCGGCGAGCTCTTTCGCGCCTTCACACCGGACTTAATCGCTGCCCGTGCGCGCTGCAAGTGGGCCTGTAATCGGTTCAATAAGTCGGACGAGGTGCCTCGTCGGCGTCTTGTTGAAATGTGGAGAGAGTGGGTGATGCGGTCAAGCTGAGGCTTAGGTCTACTTCATCCTAGAAGTATACTATTTATACTAAACCATTATATAGTATCGCCGACGACCAGACCCCTCTGCCACCAAAGCTAGATGACCCCGCAGCTGATGAAGCTCTCTTCGCGCAGGACCCCTGGATCGAATCTCCGGTCCATGTAGACTATGGGTTCAATGTCAAGCTTGGAGCGGGCGTCTTCGTCAACTTTAACTGTGTCTTTATTGACACATGTCCTATCACGGTTGGGGCTCGCACTTTGTTTGGCCCCAATGTGAGCTTGTTCTCGGGGACTCATCCGCTTGACCCTGCCCTGCGCAATGGCACTGAAGGCCCTGAGACTGGCAAGCCGATTGTTATCGGGGAGGACTGCTGGCTCGGCGGGAATGTGACTGTGCTTCCTGGCATCACTATTGGCAGAGGTGTGACAATTGGAGCTGGCAGTGTTGTTACCAAGGTATGTTGAATGCACCTTCTCATAGCCTGATTGTATAATTATGCTGACTTTAGCACCAGGATATTCCCGCTTTTCATGTGGCTGCTGGTAACCCAGCTAGGATCATTCGTCGGATTGAAACGACAATGAAAGAGTGATTGACCCTGTGTTATTCATTGACTGGTAGATATTATAGAGGTGTATATGACTTCCTGGCTACTTGCATCTATTAAATATCAAAGGGATCAAACTGTGTCTAGATTACATGGACGTCATGCACGCCTAGTTCAGACAGCGATATAGATAATGATTAATAACTAGAGTATCCAAAACCTTTGACAAATTGGATAGGATTCATTATACAACGATAGACGCCAAGAGTCCAGACTCGATGCATAAGGCC